CCTCCAGCGTGCGCGCCCCCCGCAGAGCGCCGTGCGCGGCCCCGGCGCAGCTAGCTGAGTGGTGGAGAGAGGCCGCTGAGACTCCGCGGCGGGAGCGCGCTCCCAGGCACAGCCCGACACCGCCGGCGCGGCACCCTAGCTGTCCCCCACCACCACCACGCCCGCAAAACCTCCGGGGACGCCCTCTTTTGGTCTAGTGAACTACCTCTGGGAGGAAAGGAGTCAGTTTCACGTTGGGGATCGAAGGAGGGCCAGGAAATGGAGGCTCAGGGACTTGAACTACAGATTCTCTGGCGTTAAGGCTCAGCAGGGCTCCTGCCCAATCAATCCCACCGCCTTCAAGAAAACCCTGGTGTCTGCTTGAGAGAACGGATGGCACACGAATGTGGGGGGTAGTGATGCTAGAGTTGGGTGACCGTGACCCTGAACTGATAGAAAACCTAACGACTTGTTGAGGACTCGCTTTCGCTCGAACTGCCTCCGCGTTGAATGGAGCCCTATTCGCAGTCGACAACTCTGTTTTAAAGACCTTTGTATGTCATCCTGTTTTCTCAACTAAATCAATTATTTCAGATAAAGAATGCACTTTATGCGTTTTCAGTCCGCCACGTGGGCGATTCACAGTATTGTTTATGCAAAAGCACTCAGATTTAAGTAAGTTAATAACAAATGGTTAGCGCTACTCTGGTTCCGGCGCTGAGGAAGGCTGTTTGGGGCCGTTTTCGCCCGGTTCACAGCCCTCAAGAATGCAGTCATGAGACAATTAGAGAGCAGTGCAAGAAAATCTATAATCAACTCCTTTATGGGGTGAGGTAAAGGCTGCTTGCTGCAAGTGTAGCATCTGTCTGTGGTCTTGTCTGTTGAGGGGAGTAACTGACCTGCCAGTCCTCGTGGGCCACACCCTGGCTGACTCCAGTGGGCCTGCTCTGAAGACTGGGATCTGGGGGACACCCAGGCTCCAGTCAGCTGGCCTCGGCATGTCAAAGTGGAGCCTCTAGAGTTCGGTGGCTTTCGCGACGATAAAATGGGCCCAACAGAAAGAGGGGTCTCTGGCGTGTGTCCCTCCACTCAATTCCAGCCTGTAATGGGGCACACCTGTCTCGCTGCCCAGCCCTGTGGTCAGCTGGTCCCTGTGAGGTCATCAGCAGTAAGACATCGCTCAGAGACATTCCCCAATCAGTCCTGGGGTCACCAGGTGGCCTAGGGAGAGGTGGAAACTAGTGCTGAAGCTGTCAGGAGGTCGCTGGCGACTCAATACACCCAACCAGGTCAGAGCCGGGCCAACAGCGCCCGGGATCTAGGCCGTCAAACACAAACTTCAAGCGGAGTACCCCACCCCCACCCCTCACTGTATTCTGGAACGCGTAGTCCGGGAGCGGCCCTTTTCTGGAAGGCTGTGAGCACAGAAAAGACATAATAACAAGAGCGGGGCACACTGGGAACCACTGCGCCTTGGCGGAGACGCCCGAAAAGCGGACACGCGATGCTTTCTGGGAGTTGAAGTTTAAGGTGTGTCTTCGCGGTGGAAACGAGTCCCGGGAGTTGATCGCTGCATAGAGTCCGAGCGCAGCCTGTTGGACTTTGTAGTCCTCATGCCCTCCGTCACGGGCATTCTTGGGAAACATGGCCATGCCGGAACTACAAGTCCCAGACGCCTGTGCGTGGGGGAGCGGGTGGGCGGGGCTGGAGCTGTGGGTACCACCTTCTCTGCAACGCCGGGGCCGGGAGTCTTAGAACCCAGGGCCCGCAGGGGTCCCCGCGGCCGCTGCGATGCAGAAATACGAGAAACTGGAGAAGATTGGGGAAGGTAATGGAACCACGAGATGTTCCTGCAAGGTCCTTTTCTGAAGACCCTTCTTGCAGTCCCAGCTCCCTTACCGTCAGCTATCTATACCTGCAGGGTCCGACCTCAGCACTGGTCAAAAGACCTGGCGGCTGAATCCAACACTCAGTGCTGATACCAGCCCTTCTCCCTGTGTTAGCATCTGCGGCAAACTCTTGCTCTTAGCGTTAGCAGTCTCTATGGACCGGTCATCCTAGCCGCGGCACTTCCTGCATTTCTCAGCCCTAGCCTCAGAATCACATGCAAACCTCACCTGGAACCCCTGCTTCAATTTACTGCAGAATCTCCAATCATAACAATTTTTGCAGGCCTTCACTGCTCTCCTAGATGATTCCTCGCTACTTCCCGACCCCACTCCCCACCCCCCACCCCCGAGCTTATGGCAGATTCTCCGGAGCTGCAGCTGAAGCCTTGAGCTTTTTTAGACACCTTCGCCTTGGCATCCTCATTCACAAAACTACTCTATGCCCAGCCTTTACCTGAAAATTTGCCCTTACACACTAAGATGTTGAGAAGAATCCTCTCCCTCACCCCTGACCTTCCCCTAGGCACCTATGGGACTGTGTTCAAGGCCAAAAACCGGGAAACCCACGAGATTGTGGCTCTAAAGCGCGTCAGGCTGGATGATGACGATGAGGTAGGATTGAGGCCTGGGGGTAGGGGTATAGGGCCTATTTGGGGTGGGCTATGACTATTGTCCCCTTGCATATTGTAGGGTGTGCCAAGTTCAGCCCTCCGGGAGATCTGTCTACTCAAGGAACTGAAGCACAAAAACATTGTCAGGTAAGGTCTGTTGGAGGAGCTAGACCCTCATTAGACTGGGCTGGTACTGGGAGGCTAGAGGCCTATTGGGGGATCTGGCTGAGCCTTTCATTCTCCCTAGGCTTCATGATGTCCTGCATAGTGACAAGAAGCTGACGTTGGTTTTTGAGTTCTGTGATCAGGTGAAAGGGGCTGGGGGGCTTAGTAATCATGGGAGGGTATAGGAGCCCAGACTAAGGTTGAACTCTGTCCTCTTCTCCACACCCTCGTCTCCGTTTAGGACCTGAAGAAATATTTTGACAGCTGCAATGGTGACCTGGACCCCGAGATTGTGAAGGTGAGGGGGGGAGTGGCTGGGGGTTCATGGAGTCCGGCTGTGCCTATAGTATCAGCACCCCTTGGGTAACAGATTGAAGTCCTGGAGTACCAGAGAAAGCCTGGTTCTGCCCTCCAAGGCTACTAGTCTTGGTGAACATTCTTTGACTTGCACGGTATCTGATTTCAATGATGTCATTTGTACTCGAGAGATGAGACACATGAGAAATATCTCATGGATTCAACAAATACCAGCCCTGCAGAGGGGCACATGCTTCTAACTTTAACACTCAGAAGTCTGAGGCAGGAGGATCTAGCTAGTCTTGAGCTAGATAACAGGGCCTTGTCTCAAATATCAGGGCATAAACAAAACAGAAAGGGATTGGAGAGATGGCTCAGCAGTTAGCATATGTTACTCTTACAGATAATGTGAATTCCGTTCCCAACCCCCACATGAGGTGGCTTCACAACCACCTGTAACTCCAGATCCAGGGGGATCCAGTACCCACTTTTGGCCTCCAAGGGCACGTGCACTCATGTGCACATACCCCTACCCTATATACATCCATAATTTTAAAATAAAGTTAATCTTAAGGGGGGAGGGCTAACAAAACAAATATATGCTATAGGTTTTGCTTTGTACCAGCCACTATTCTAGGCCCAAGACCAAGTGCCTTGGCCCGTGTTCCATGGGAACCAGGTCCTGAGTAATACTATAACTTTGTGTCTGTGTTAATGGACATGGTGTGTGTGCTAAATTGAAGCCATGTAGGGGAGACCAGAATGGACTGGAGATGCAGGAAGGCCCACTAGCCTGCCAGTCCAGAAAAGTGTGAGGAACAGGGACAGCTTGGTTACTGTTGTACCTCTGCTACCCAGTGCGTGCAAATCAGATTCACAAAGTAACCGGATGAGAGGCTGAAAAGCCAGATCAGTTGTTAGAGCACTTGCTGCTCTTGCGGAGGACTCTCTTCTCAGTATTCACATTGGGTAGCTCACAACTACCTGTAGTTGTGACCCTACTTTTGACCCCCACAGATATACACACACACTCAATTCCAGAGTAATTGGATGGACTTCTCAATTTGCTGCAGGTCATATGGGCTCTAGGGCACAGCGGGTCTGACTCCCTCTTCCCTGCCTCTCCCCAGTCATTCCTCTTTCAGCTGCTGAAAGGCCTGGGATTCTGTCACAGCCGCAACGTGCTGCATAGGGACCTGAAGCCCCAGAACCTGCTCATAAACAGGGTATTGCTCTGGGAACAGGGAGTGAGTTTACACAAACCGGAGCCAGGGATGGGAAGCCTTGAGGGAGTAGGATGGGGAGAAAGAAGCTGGAGCCTGCCCTAAACCGTTTAAAAGTCTTCTCCATGTTCCCTTTGTGTTATCTCCCCTTAGAATGGGGAATTGAAATTGGCTGATTTTGGCCTGGCTCGAGCCTTTGGTATCCCAGTTCGCTGCTACTCTGCTGAGGTGAGCCTGGGAAGTGGTATGTGAGGTTGAAGGGAGGGAGTCCCCCAGTGGCTTCTCTATACCACGTTGTTTCCTCTGCTCTCTGAGCTGCCTCCTGGACCTCCTTCCAGCTCTCTAAGTGGGAGGGGGCTCCCTGTGGGTGGGGTCTTCTCCAGGTGGTCACGCTGTGGTACCGCCCACCGGATGTCCTCTTTGGGGCCAAGCTGTACTCCACGTCCATCGACATGTGGTCAGCCGGCTGCATCTTTGCAGGTGACACATTGGGGTTCTGCAGAAGCACTTGCTTTCCCAGCTGGGTAACAAATAGGGTCTGGAGGATCTTTTGTGAGGGAAGGGAGAGGGGCTCTTGGGGCTGGGACTGGAAGGCACAGGGGCACTGCAGAATGATGGGTCCTTCATGTGCTCTATTTTATCCCTGTCTCCTTCTCAGAGCTGGCTAATGCGGGGCGGCCTCTCTTCCCTGGCAATGATGTGGATGACCAGCTGAAGAGGATCTTTCGATATCCTTCCAGTGCCCTTAACCCACTCCTTCACCTCTTTGTAGAAAGGGAGTGAGCATGGAGCTCTGAGCAGGGGTCAGAGATCGCCATTGCTTACCCTCCACAGTGTCCTTGTATGGGTTCACACTGTGGAGAGATGTAGCTGTTGGTACACCTGATGAGGCAGTTGAAAGTTGCTCCAGTAGGCCTTAGGATAAAGGAGTAGGGGTTCTTGGAGAAAAATGACTGGTTTCTCATTTTTAGGACCACAAGCATCAGGGTTTGATTTTCCTGGTCCACTGTAAACACCATAAAGATGGGGTTCATCTCCGGCTAGATTCAGGCATAGAGCAAAATGGTATGAGAGAAGGGGAGGCGGGAGTAAGGAATCCTCCCCCTTTCCCCTGAGGTATAGGTGTAACCCTCCCCACAAGTGACCCTTGACCACATGGACACACTGCTAGGGACACCGACTGAAGAACAATGGCCTGCCATGACCAAGCTGCCAGACTATAAGGTGTGACTAGCTATGGGAGGTCTTAGTTCATTAGAGGACCCTTTTGTTTTCCAACTCTTATGCTCCATACCTCTGGCCTGACTCTGCCTGGCCCTCCTCTGCAGCCCTACCCAATGTACCCAGCTACAACATCCTTGGTGAACGTCGTACCCAAGCTTAATGCCACAGGGAGAGACCTGTTGCAGGTAGGTGCCTAGGGGTAGAAGCAAATGGGGACATTTGCCTGCCCAGGGTTAGAAACTGGGGATTGTGGTGCTTGTCCAGAGGGACAAGAAGATGATGGGCTGTCCTGGTCTGAGCTCACCTCTGCCTTTCTTCCCACCTGCAGAACCTATTGAAGTGTAACCCTGTGCAGCGCATCTCAGCAGAGGAGGCCTTGCAGCACCCCTACTTCTCTGACTTCTGTCCCCCGTAGGCTCTCTGATCCCTGGTGGCCAGGCTGGGGCCTGGCCTATTTAAGCCTCCCTCACAGAAGGGTGGAAAAATGGGGTGTGGGAAGCCAAGCCCCAGCTGTGCTGGGCCCAGCCAGGGTAGAATTACCCTGGCTCGCAGTTTTCACTCCCTACATGGACTTTATTTAATTTCATAAATTGGCTCCTTTCCCACAGTCTGCTGATATGGTGGCGGGGTGGCTCTGAAGGGTGGCTGGTGACCCCTGCTCTGACTTACCACCCTCTGTGACCCTGCCTACAGCTTGTGCAATGAGCTGCTCACTGTCTGCTCTGCCTCTTTCCATGTCCTGAGACCGGGAACAGGAAGCCGTGATCCCCATCCTTTTGATTGTATCACGGCAGCCCTGTCTCCACATGCAGGCTTATGTCCTCCTGCACACGTTTCTCTTCTGCCTAGAAGGGCCAGATACAGCTCTGAGGTAGGATGACCAGCTGAAGAGGATCTTTCGATATCCTTCCAGTGCCCTTAGCCCACTCCTTCACCTCTTTGTAGAAAGGTGTGCAAAGTTGAGCCTCTTCCAGACTGGGGACAATGGGCCAGGCCTCTTTATGGGTGTTTCCACATTCTAGATAGAGCCTTCCATCTCTGTTTTCACACTCGGAGTTGTAGACTGGGGCAGGAAAGACCCAGAACTGTGTGGGTCTCTTTCATGAGAACAATCCTTCCCAGTTCCTGTTTACCAGCCTCTCAGTGGTTGGGATACAGTAAAAGAAAGAAACTGGAGCTGGGGCAGAGGGCCAGTGGCGCCCTCTTGGCAGAAGGAAAAGGCAGGGCTCTTTCAGTCCCGCTGTCTCAGGTAGGCTGTCAGCTTCTGTGGAGTGGTTGGAAAGGCAAGAACTTTCCCATAGCATGACCTTCGGAGGCAGGACACCAACCTGTGTAAACCTGCCACTCCCACCTTCTCGCTGAACTAGTCAGAACCTCGTTCTGGCTATACACTTGGTCCAGCGAATACCTACTGACCATGCCCACTGTGGGCCATCACATCTGGGCATGCAAAGCCTACCTTCTTAGCTGTGGATAGAAGGTAGGCCTGGTGGTACAGACCTGTATTCCAAGCTACCAGCAAGCCTGAGGCAGGAGAGCTGCAAGGCCAGTGTGGGCAGCGGAGTGCAAAGTCAATCTGGACAATTTAATGAGACTCTGTTTCTAAATAAACAAGATACAAAAAGGGCTGGGAAGCCAAGCATGGTGGTATATGCCTATGATCTCAACATTTGATAGGTGTGGGCAGAAAGATTAGGAGACCAAGATCATCAGTGGGTGCACAGTTTACCCGCAGCCTGAAGTCTGTGAGACCCTGCCTCCGAAGAACAGAAGTGGTGGGGATGCACTTCTGCGGGAGAACACTGCATAGCAGGCGTCCTCCAGACCCATCTCAGTCCTCATTACTCAAGAAAAATTAAAATGGGTTTGATAAGCTCATTAACACTAAGGTGCAATTGATTGATCTCTTAAAATTACCCTTCCCCCCAGAGAGTTGTAAAGCCTAACTGGGACGCGGGTCCCAACTGGATAGTGGACAGAAGTGGGGAGGCTGGCACTGACTCTGCTAGTGTCTGATCTGTAAGGCAAACACTTGAGGCACATGCACTAGAGCTTTATTAGCATGAAGATGGCAAAGATGTACAGGCCAGACATGTCCAGGATGTCACGGTGCAGCCAGGTGCTCACAGCTGGTCTAGAGCCTTGTGACGAGGTAACAGGTACGGTGAGAGGCAGAGAGTGTCTTGGTGACAGCACACGGAGGGGTAGGAGGCCTGGTGGGACAAGCCACAGCACTGAGCTGGACCCCTCCACCTATTCTGCCCTAGACCTGAATTTCCTCCTCTTGACCTGTCTTGTCCCTTGACCTTATGGGGCATGTCTTATATTACCTGGGGCCCAGGCTGAGGTGGGGACCGTGTGTTCGATGGCTATTCAACCCTTCCTGAAGCTGTAGGAAAAGGGAGAGTCAGGTGGAGATCAGCCAAGATGGCTGCACATGATAGCTCCTGGACCAAATGTTTAAGGTCTGGGGTGAGGCCTATGATGCTAGGGGTGGGGGAGGGTGAGAGGACTGTTACCAGGGTACTGCTAGAGCGCCTTTGAGAGCTCCTTCTGTTCCAGAAATACCCCAGGACTCTGTCTTGGAAAACCTGGGGGCAAGTGATAGGAATAGGTGGCCAACATACACCTCCCTGGACACTTGAGGCCTGATTCCTCCCCATCGCATCTGGGGTTCTGTCCCACCTCACAGAGGTAGTCGAGGATCTCAAGGATGGTAAGCAGGCTGGCTCCAATAAATAGTCCCATCTGTCCCCCAATGTCTCCTGTGGAGGCAGAGTGCTGTCAGCTCACAATCACCTGTCCTATCCAAACCTCTGCAGACCCAGGTACTCCATACACACCCAGCAACTCCGACACCTCATAGGCCACCTTCTGCTCCACTGCCTCATAGTTGAGGGCCTCGAAGAAGATGTCCAGAACCAATACGTTCTCCCTGGAGGAAAAGAAGCCTGAATTGCTTGCTGTACACCACCTGGTGCCAGGTGGAAGTAGGTGTGGATGCACTGGCCAGTTTGGAGAACCTTGGGTTATTCTCATCCCCCAAGTCAGGAAGTTTAAGTAGTTTGCCCAAAGTCCCAGAACCGGTTATGATGTGGAGATGAATCCAGCCTGGGCTGTGTGCAGAAGGGCTACGGTCCTGTTCCCTGCTAGGAATCCCTTGCCTCAGGCACTGTGCCTCCAGCTTTGCTACCATCCCTTGCTCACGCGATGTAGGTTTCGCTGCGGTTGTATTTCTGGGCCAGATAGCGAGCTGAAGCGCGGCTGGGAATCCGCACCATGGAGAGCTCCTTGGCGTAGCGCGTAGTGGCGCACGGGCTGGGACAGACACACGTGTCCTTTCGCAACATGGCGTCTGCAGGCAGGGCCCAAAGCAAGGATCAGAACCACTCAGCAAGAGGATTCAGATCAACAGCCGAGTGAATGGGGACAGGGAGGCTGAAGAGTTGTGCCCTTACCCAGAGCTGGGCTGGCACAGTCCTTGTACTGCTGGGGGCTGCACACTGGTGAGTTTCCTAGGATAGGACGAGGAGAACGGAGCCCAAGAGCGCCCCCTAGGGTACCCCCATTCCTTACTCCCAACAGACCCCAGCTTCTTACCAGGCATATGCATCATTCGACATCCACACTTCCGAGCCACATAGCGGGTCTCACAGGCCAGGCGACACCCTATTAAACTATAAGGAGGGCTGGGGCTGGGGTTAGGGGAACCCAGGGAATCAGAGGGCTCTGGATCAAAGTCAGGGTCCACAGATGCAGTATTGCAGTCACCCCAGGGTGGTGGCAGGAAGCTCAGCTGTGGAGGGACAAGGTTAAGGAGACTGTATTAATAGAGGTTTGTGGGGTGAGGGCCCCAGAAACAAACTGAGGCATTGTGGCTTGGGGTCTGAGGGTTTTCTGAGGTGGGTAGGAGTTTGGGGCAAGTGGGAGGCACAGACAATTGAACCAACATACTTGCTGCTGCTGGCAGGATACAAAAGTCTGGTGGCCTGGGGCTGCCCCGAAGCCCAGCTGGTCAATGGCAGGGGGCTCCTCCTGGCTGTGGATCTGTACTCGGATCCCCACCTCAAACGGGGTCTCTTCTGCAGGGAGGGGCCTTTAAGGCCCCAGACACTCCACTCCCAGGAGAGAATCCCTTGGCAGTTCCTCTCCTCAGGATTTGGAAAAGCCAGCCCGGCCTCTTCTCACAAGAAGATGCGCTTTGAAACTCCTCCCTACACACCTGCCTCCTCTCCTTCCCATGGTCTCTGTGATTTCCCAGCCTCATGCATGCCTCCGCCCTCATCCCTCCTCACAGGCAGATGACCCTGTGCTCCTCACCCATGTCCTTCCAGATGGGCAGGTACTCCTCCTGCTGTACATCCAACATAATCTCCAGCCCATTGCCAGCACCACCTTTTGGGGTGGTGAGCAGCTCTGCCCCGTGGGCACCAGAGTTGAAGGTGTAGCACTGCCCCATGCGAGTGAAGATCTGGGGACAGAAAGGATAGTCCCTCTCTTAAGCAAGCCCTTGGGCATGGGAGCACTCCCCTCCTTGACCCCTTCTCTTTGTTTTTGCCAGTTGGGGCTTTTTTCTTTTGGGGGTGGGTGGGGCATGTAGCCTGGGCTTGTCTGGTGCTTGCTATGTAGCTGAGATGCCCTCCAATTTCTGGTTCTCCTGCCTCCAAATACCAAGTGCTGGGATTATAGGTATGAATCACTATACAAATCCTTGGATGGATTACCCCCTCAATGTGTTACTTAAGTACTTGGTGGTGGTGGGGGGACTGGACCTAGGTTACTAAATCTAGGTGATCTAGCTGAACTTCCACCCTGTCCTAAGACTCTTTCTTCCTTTCTTTTTCTGAAACACTTTCTCTCTACTGTGCAGATGAAGCTCCCTGTAACTCACAGGGCTCCTCCTGCCTCTGCTTCCCAGGCTTTGGGATTAAAGGTGTGCACTACTGTACTTATTTTATGCTGTGGACATTCTGATACCAAGTCTCACGCAGTCTCCCACTCTCCTTGAAAGAACTCTGAAGCCCACATCTCAGTGCCCTTAGCCTCATATATAGATATATGGAGTAGGGAACCTCCCTACTCACTCCAGCTCCTCTACCTCTCACCAAAGTCCTGGGTGCAGCCTACAGGAGTAATTGGAATAAAAGGAAATGGATCTATTATTGTCCTCCTTTGGGGTGACAAAATTTGGATGAGACAGAAAAAAGTCCTCTCCTAGTAGAGAGGGGTCTTCTGCCCCAGAATAGTCCCAGGGTATTGAATTTTACCCTAGGAGTAGTGTCTCGACCAGCTGGCCCTTGGCCCTGCAGCCTGCTTGGGTCAGTGTCCTTGCCGAGAGGCATAGCCAGGTGCACAAATGTCTAATTGTGAGCTAGAGAGAACACCCAGAAGCCACTTCCTAGACTAAACTTAATGGCTTGGTGGGTGGAGAGCCTGTGGCTGGCAGGCAGGCAGGAAGGAATATACAGACAAGGGGTGTTAAGGTTCCCTGTTTTGGGGGAATCTTGGGCTAACAAGGCCAAGGGTTATAGACATGGTCTCAGGGCAGTTGGCTTACCACTGTGAAGTTCTCAGGCCCACAGGGCTGGCCACGGTAGCGGCAGTCCAGCAGCATGTCCTCGAGGGAGTGGCCGGCTCTGGCGTAAAGTTGTGCCATGTCGAAGGTGGGACTGGGCATGAAGCCAGGCGGTGCAGGGCCCTGGCCCAGGGCACGAAGGTAGGCAGCATGTTCAGCAGGGTCCAGGCCCAGCAATGCTGTTCCAGCCCAATGCAAGTCATTGGGTGTGAGGCGGGAGCGGCGCAATGGATTGATATTACACAGAGTGACCGCTGGGAAGGTGAGCTGGTGGCTTTCCCGCTCATCTAGGGTGGTTTTATGGTGGAACTCCCCGTAGTAGCGCACTCGCTCGGCCACCTGGTAGAGGAAGGCCGCCAGCGACAGAAGCACAGCTGTGGCCCAAAGCCCACGGCGCAGGGTCAGGCCTCCCGGGCCAAAGACGTGGCCCAGACCATGCATTGTGCAGCTGCTGGCGAACACCCGGATGTCCGAGGCCTGGCGCCGCTGGGCCTCCTCCAGTCCTGAGGGGGGTTTCATGGCTATAGTCCAGGGAAGGGACTGATGACTGGGTACAGGGACTCCAAAGAGTGACAGAGGCTGGACAGTTGGGGAGTTGGCGAGGGAGTTAAGTGGCTCAGCGAGGAATAGGGAGAAGAGCAAAGGAGAAGGTAGAAAAGAGGGTAGAGAAGGGAGGAGCCAAGACTGAGAGGTACTGGCCTGGTAGGACTGGATGAGATGAATTTCGGTCCAGCTCTGCTTTCCCCAGAACAGGCGTTGGCTCCTTGGAGCTGGGGCTCTGCAGTAAGGACCAGGTAGGGCGCAGGAGGTAGTGGCAGGCAGGGACTGGAGAGCAGGACTGAGCTGAAGCTGCTGCAGAGGATTAGGTTTCAGCATGAGGGGGGCTGGGGGGCCAGCAGAGCAGTCTGAGGGGTAGGAAAGGTCCCTGGGGCCCCAGGCTGAGCCATTAGTGCAGCGTGGGGGGAGTCACCGCTGTTAGAGACCAGAGGCGCCAGGAGGAAACCGCAGCAATGCTGGGTAGGGCTTGAAGGAAACCCAAACATGTATTGGGGTTGGGGGATGCCTTTGGGGCCCGTCAGGCTCCCAGTCCCAGCCCCTGAATGCCAGACCAGAGGGTTAGCTGCTGATTCTTGGTTCAGCCCCTCTCTCCTTTTGCCTTTCCTGCCCTTCCATGAACTCACCTGGCATAAACATTTGTTCTTTCGCAGAGTGGACCTGGCTCTTGACCAAGCTGGAGAGTGGTGGGAGGTTTGGCACAAGCAGATCTTCTTTTCCTATGCCCCCAGCATCCTGCATGACCAGGCCCTCTTCAAATTCCATATCCAATGGCTTTCTGTGTTTGAGTGTCCCTCTCTACCTGGTGACCCAGACCCCACCTCCTCATTCTCCCGCCCTCCTGTTTGTGAGGCTATATTCCTCCGCAATGACTATGGACTCTCCTGCTAGCCCGCAAAATAGCCAGGGTACTGTGTGACTTGACACCTTCCTCTCTTGATTAACATATTCTAGGACCATGACCTCTGGCACCTGGGAAGCTTTCTCATTTCTGAAGGTGGTGAAACACCATCATGTAGAGGTGATGTCTTCTGTCTCCTCTGATGGCCACTGAGGATTCCAGCCTTTCAATATCAGCTTTGCGATCAGTCATAAACTCCCTGAGTTTCTGCGTTTTGACCACTGCCTTATAATTTGATAGCCGTGACCAGATCCGCTACCCCAACCCCAATAGCAGTTATGCCATTTTGTTCTCCGTTTAGTCTTGAGCAGGGAGAACGCCTGGAGGGCATTCCAGGCCCTAGTTTCCCTGCGCCCTGCCACGGGGCAAAGGCAGCATGTGATCCAAGCCGTGGAGCTACTTCCAGGAATTCAGAAGAGAAGATGAAGGGTAGAGCTGCAGGGGTGGGGTGTGTACACTCGCGGAGCTGGAGGACTGGCACTAGCTCAGTGCCAGTAGCCCAAGGGCATCTGCACAGGGACCGCAAGGTCTGTACTGGGTGAACGCTATACCTTCATGTATCTGCGAGTATCCACTATTTACATACACTTTCTTCTAATGTTTCATTTATTATTGATTGGGGGTGTCACAATGTGTGTGGAGGTTAGAAGAAAACTTGTGGGTGTGCTCATCCATGAGTCTTGGGGGATTGAACTCAGGTCCTTCGGTTTGGGGTTTGGTGGCAGGTGTTTCTCATTGGCCCCAGAATTATATTTGTATTTTGTGTCTTTGAAAAGCACTGGAGACCAGGTTCATTCTGGTAGCTTCTGGCCTTGAGTGGTGGGGATGTAGTTCCACCAACCACGCAGTGTGGTGCCTCTGACTTTGGTCCTTCTAGCAAGCACTCATGGCTCACAGTCTCAGAAACTGTCCCAGGTTTAGTGGCATAGGCTAGGCAAGTAACATCTTACGAAAGATAGGTGACTATAATGGCTTGGGACACAGGTTTGACTGCTTTCTGGGACCACTGCACTGTGGCTTTTAAGGACCTTGTTACAAAATGCCCCCCCTTAACTCTTGGAAATGTATTTCGAGAGGAAGCCCAGTTAATCTGCTGTTCTCTACTGAGGGACTGGCAGAGTCAAGCCAGGGTGATAGGGTAGGGTCACCAGTCATTGGTCATAGGGTCCCATTCACTGGTGAGTAGAAATCCTGTGGCTGTCAGGGGGCTTAGAATCACACTAAGTGATGTGTACACTGCCAGCCAGGTGACTGTGCATGACGCTGAGCCACTTGGCTGTCAGGCTGCTCTGTGAGGGAGATTTTATATCCCAACTGGACCAAGGGTAGGGCCAGATGGGGGAATTCCTATGGAAAGCAGAGGCCTTTCTCTAAGCTGCACTTGGCAAGGGTGTGGGGCACGGTGGTGACCAGGCAACTGAAGCCACCCAAAACTCAGCTTCTAGGACTGTCACTGCAGATACTGAACCAGGGCACTATGGACTAGGGATCTTGGGTTCCTTGTCCTCACAGCAGTATATGGTCCTAACCACAAGTCCCACCTCAGTTCCTGCATTCACTTGAGCCTCTATACTGGCTTCCAGCAGCAGCAGTTTCTGCAGTCTGTGCCCATTGCTCCTGAAAGACGATCATCCTTTGACACATGAAAAGTATAAAATGTTTGTCCGACCATAAAGTTGCAGCACCTTTCCCTTGCCCTGGTTTGCTGACCTGCAGAGTCCTACAACCTGGATGTGGTTGGCCGGGGATGGATTCTCAGTGGGAAGTGACCTACAGTACCAAGGCTAGAGGCCATCACCCTGGGAGTAAGTTAAGTGTATGAATGCACTGGCAGCTCTAGGAGCACCAGTGCCATCTAAGGGTCCTTTGCATGCTTCCCTGGACACCTGAGAAGCCCCAACTTGCCTCAGTTACAGCTTTGGGGCCACATGCTCATGTCATTCAGGCTGTCTGCTTATTCCCTTTCAAGGTGAGGCCACCATCCCACCACTTCCATGATCCTTATGGTTACTCATATGAACCTCATATTGCCTTGTGTATTAGCTGTGCCTTCCATCTTTGGGGCAGGCTCTCACAAAAGCCATGCTAGCCCCAAACTCTAGGTAGCCAAAGATGATCTCAGACTGATCACCCCGCCCCACCTCTCATCTGCTGGGATTACAGGTATGGACCACCATGCCTGTATCTGGGCACATGGCCCAGTCTCAGTCTCTTTAATGCTTCTTTGATTTTATAGTCTCACCAGGTCAGATATGAAGCACACAGCGAACAGCCAGACAGGCTGGTTGCTTCTTGTATAATAGACTGCTACCACTTCATCCTGCCAGAGACTATGGCTGTGGTTTTGTGGGGGATGCAAGGGTAAGGCTAGGGATGCATGGTCCTACTAGGGTGAGGTGGAGCCTAGGTCTGAGGTCCCGGGTTACTCCCAACCCTGGATTTTATTATTTTATTTGCAGTGCTAAGGCTCAAATCTAGGCCCACATATATGTCAGGCATTCTGCTACTGAGCTACAGCCTTAGCCTCTTTTAAAATTGTCTTTTATTATATTTACCTATTTAGGATTTATTTGAGACAGGATCTCACTATATAGCCTGGATGGCCTTGAACCCCTCGAGCCTCCTACTTTAGTCTCCCAAGAGCCTGAATTACAACCCATTCTACCAGGCCTGGCCAGACCATGAATTTTCAGTCCCCGCAGTGAGGGCCTGAATAACCTTAGAGTGCTGGGCAGGACTGGGGCAGAGGGAAAGAGTCAAGCAGAGGTGCCTCAGGGACTGCCTCACCATGTACATCACAGTAATCACAGAGCTGAGCCAGGACAGGTGGGAGGAAAGTCACCTTCCCACCGCAGCTGCTAGGCCCAGATACTTTAAGGGAGCAGGAGAGCAGGCTACACCCCACACTGGCCCTGTAAGAGCTCTGTCCCCAGCAGAGCTCCAGCCCCAGATGGTTCTCATTCTCAGCAGTGACCTGACCCCAGGGGGTCTCTCAGGCTTTCCACTGGGGGCTCCTGGGGTCTTCAGGCTTCTCTGCAGGTGGGGCCTGAGGTCAGTGGAGCATCCAGGGCTTGTCTCCGGATAAGCTCTGCATACAGCCCGCCCTTTTTAAGGAGTTCTTCGTGGGTCCCGGCCTGGAGACAGAAGGAGTGTCATTTCAACCAAGCTAAACTTAGAGCGAGTCCCAGCCTCCACCACCTGTTGGGCTCCCAGCCACTTAAGCTAATGTCCCTTTTAGAGACACTTGACAACTCCAGGCTCATTTTAAATGAAACACCTCGGACATAGCTTGATTAGTCAAGGCCACTTCCTGCTCAGCGGACACTGAGAGGTCTGATCCCTCCTATGTCAGGCAGATCTCTATGAGTTCAAGGCCAGCCTGGTCTACAGAGGTAGTTCCAGGACTGCCAAGGTTACACAGAAAAAGCTGAATAGGTTTCTCAAAAAAAAAAAAAAAAAAAAAAAAACCACCACCAACAACAAAAAAGTCCCTGATGTGATATCTGAGCCCCTGGCCAGCTCTGCACTCTGCCTCAGTTTCTTCACCAATACCATATACATCCTCTGGTCCTGGGAGCCTGCAGCTCACCTCTCCCAGAGGTCAGAGCTTATCTGCAGACAGGAAGACCTTGGTCTGTTGGGGTGTTGTTCCCAGAACATGACCTCAAGCACCTGGAGCCAAGCCAGGTGCTCATATAGCTTAGCTATGCTACCTGAGCCACTGCCCACTCCCAGCCCGACTGACCTCACAGACTTGGCCATTGGCCATGACGACGATGCAGTGGGCCGCACGAACAGTACTGAGCCTGTGGGCAATGACTAACACGGTGCGACCAGCGCTGGCCCGGTCCAGTGCCTCCTGCACTACCCTTTCAGACTCTGCGTCTAGGGCACTGGTTGCCTCGTCCAGGATCAACACAGTGGGATGCTTGATGAGGGCTCGTGCGATGGCTAGGCGCTGCTTCTGACCACCAGACAAGGTTGTGCCCCGCTCACCTAGGGAAAGAGGGGGCAGGATGTGAAGTGATCCTTAGCTCCACACTTGGCGGTGGTAGGCATTGGGCACTGGATACTTAGGAACTTCTATGGGGCTCCTCTCAGGACCCCATCCCTACCCCAGGTGCACACTTGTCAGTCTGAGTGCTCCGGCATGATAATGCACACAAAGCACATGCATGAGTGCCCCTTCCTAGGTGGGTCTCTGAGCTGAGCAGCAGGTGCCGACAGCAACAACTATCTTCCGGGAACCCAGCCTCAGCTGTAGTATGACCATTGGTAACCAAGCATGAGCAGTGCAGCAAAAATGCTAAACACAGAAGCACCTGAAGCCACAGAGGACAGATGTGACATTCTGGGAGCCACAAATAACTTCAAGGGACTGCAAAAGAATGGCAGGGTCACAGGTCAGTAAGGGGAACAGTCCTGGAAGCCCAATAACAAGGAACACTGGAATTAAAAGCACAAGGGAGTGCCAACCAGGAGAGATGACAAGGCCCTCCCACGAGAATAACACAGAGCCTTGAGCATGTAAGCACAGCGACATTAGGACCTGAAGGGACTGCTAGAGATGGGCACAGGCTGAAAGATCCAGGTCAGTAGCTGAGAAGCCTTGAGAAGTACTGGAACATTCTGTACCATAACTCAGCTGCTGGATAGCACATACTCTCTATATGATACACACAGCCCCAGAGTTGGACATTAGAGCTGTAGGGATGAACATCCAAGGCTCAGGGTGTGAACGAGTTAGTGTGCTATTATATGGTCGAGTACCCTGAAATGAGAAAGGCCTGCACAAGACGCCAGCCTGTTGTGCTGAGGGATGCCACTGAAGTGCAAGAGACCCGGGGTATTCTGGGGACCAGAAGAACAGGGACAGTTTTGAGAGGAGTCCTCTTTCCTGTCTTGGGTTATGGTAGGGCTCCAGAGTATACAAGTCCCATTTACTGTTCTCCCATTTACCACTGTTATATTCTCTGTCTCCTACCAGAGCCCTGTCTAGTCTGTTATGCCTGAGTCACATGGGTTGGAGTTCTGTCCCCATAGAGCCACCTTTGTCCCCTCAACCACGGTCTGGTATTTCCTGGTTTGACTATCTCTGAGCTGCCCCTCTTAAGAGTCACACTGAGTTGCTCACTGCCCATAGAACCCTGGCTCCTGAGCCTCACCACTGCCCTGATGACCCAGTAGCTTCCCACCAAGGGACCCACCAACCACGGTATTGTAGCCATCAGGGAAGCTGCTGATGAACTCGTGGGCATTGGCTTCTCTTGCAGCTGTATACACCTCTTCATCAGAAGCGTCCACTTTCCCAAATCGGATATTCTCCATGATGGTTGTTCCAAATAAGACTGGCTCCTGCAAGGTTGAGGGGCATGGGAACACAGAGATGGCATTTACAGACTATACTCTGAGTTCAGTCTCAGAATCTGGGGACTGCCATGAGCACCAGGGACCTATTTTAGAGAACCCCAATTGCAGGGAGGGTCTGAAGTTCAAAGCCAGGCTCCAGTCATGTGAGGACAGGGTGGCTCATCAGTGGGACACAGACTCCCTCACAAAGGTTATGATGGACAGGCCCTATAAAGTGATAGCGGGCCACTTGAGTTTTAGTCTCTTCCTCCATGTGGATAGTTGTCCCTCCTATAGTGGTGTGCTGGCTTTATCTCTAGCCCACAAAGAAAAAAATGGCCCCTCGTTGGGCTTGGTGGGTGGTGGCCACTGGCAGTCTCAGGACCACTGCTCTCAGATCCTAGGACTGCAGTGTCTATGCTCTGGAGTACGAGGATCGAGCTGCAGCTGTCTGGGAGAGGACATCTTGGACCTACAGAATGGCAGGGAACCGTTTAGGCCACAGACATCCTCAGAGGGTCAGGGAGAATAGTGGAGAAGAAAGAAAAGGGGCCCTGGTTTGATGCTCAGCTTCTGCCAGCCTCTGCCCTTCACCTGGCTGATGAAGCCGATGACCTGGCCCCGGAGCCAGGAGGGGTTGAGAGTACGCAGGTCGTGCCCATCCAGCATCACCATGCCAGCTGTGGGGTCATAGAAGCGCTCCAGCAGGGAAGCCACTGTGGTCTTTCCTGGAAGAAGGGGAAGTTGGAGGTGTGGGAAGAGAGGGTTTTGGAGACTCTCCCAGCAAAGAGGGACCCTTGTGGCATGGAGGATACCCATCCTAGGTAGGAGCAGGAACCAATGAGGGTTTGCTACCAGCCATGTTCCAAGTGGCTACCAAAAAATAAACCAGAGGACAGGAGATGGTGAGGTTCTCCTTACCTCCCCCAGACTGGCCCACAAGGGCCACAATCTTGCCAGGTGGCAGCGTTAGGGTGAAGTCCTTGAGCACCTCGAAGCCAGGGCGGCAGGGGTAGCTGTGGAAGGCCAAGTGAGCCCCAGTCAGACTGGGTTTCTGAACTTTACTGTCCTTCTAAGTCCCCCGACAGGGCCTTGCTTACAGGAGTATTCCGTTAGAATGCCTCCCGACTTCGTCTCATCCTCAGTCCACCCACCAATGCTGACCTGAAGCTGACATTCTGGAAGGTGATGGAGCCATGAAGGTCCTTGCTGGGGATGCAGTAGCCCCCTGTCAATGGGATGCAGGGGCTCAGGGCCATGTACTCAAAGACGCGGGCACCTGCACTCAGTCCACGTACCACCTGCAGAGGGAATCTAGTTTGTGGTTTAAATTAGAAACTGGGGCTCCCATGGAAGGGGGCTTCTGGTACTGGATAGGGCTGCAGTGTATCTATCCAGAGCTCTCATAGCACAGACACACAGACACACATCATCTTGGGACAATCTCACTTACCTGACCAAACAGGACAGAGAGACTGGCCATAGACCTGTCAGGAGAGAGAGTTGGAAGAGGTGTTAATAAGAGCAGGAGGAAGGAAAAGGTAGGAGAGACAAGGACATAGGGCTAATGCAGAGAAAGCCCCCAATATCTTATGGCTACAGGAGCCCTGTGATCCTGTAACACCAGACCATTAAGCTTCTGTCCCCTCTCCACTTACAGGCTAAGTCAAGATCTGGAGGATGCTCCAGGAGGTAGTGAATGTGGGAAATGCCTGGGACTCAATGGTACGCCTAAATGCTTCCCAGGCCTTCAGTATGCAGGGTGAAGCTGGTCCACATCAGCCCAGCGGAAAGGGTATAACTGATCCCATGACCTCTTCCTGACATGACTGTGCAGATGCCTTGACAGAGGTCACAGGGATAGGGGTAGGTCTACAATGGAAGGACAGATCTAATGCTAGATATCTGGGAAAGCAAGGACTCACTTTCAAAGTACGGTGAGAAGGAGTCACGCCCTTTCAGGAAACAAAGAAAATAGGGACGGGGCTATAAGGGGAAGCCCTGGAGAGCCCCCAAAGCAAAACTCCCCCACAAAGATTTTACTGTGGGTTTGCCCTAAAGTTGGGTATGTGTAGGAGATGGCATGTGTTTATCTGTCTAGACAGTGGGTCACCTCCCTTGTCTTGGCAGGGCTCGGGCTGGAGCTGGTCGCCTACTATGAGCTAAGGAGGTAGATGAGTCAACAGCCTTAGTCACGGTCCCCAGTGGGTTGGCCAACCCATGACTGTATATGCCACTGTGTGCAATGGGGTCCCTTCTGAGGAAAAAGGCTGCCATCCCAGAAAGCTATGGGACAAATTCACTTGTTCCAGTGCTGGGGTAAGTACCTTAAAGTTCTCAAGGAAACAGTTATGGAAGGCTTAGGGAAATAGGCACTTGTCAGGAGCAGAAGGCTGTGGAGGGCGGGGCTAGGTGGGTGAGTTATCTGTGGATGTGGATGGGACCAGCTCACATGAGACCTGGAAGCCATTAGAGCCTGGCAAAGGGGCGAACCGCAACTGAAATCCAAAACACACATGACTCACGGGAGTGCCCTGACCTTGCTCTGACAGCTGGCACAATGGGACCAGCTGCAGACTGATGAAGTGAACCGGCCCGGACAAGTTCCCTAGGAGACCATCCATTCTCTGCCAAAAGGAACACTTAGTTGGGGCTGCTCTGTCCTGCTCATTCCTCCCTTTGGACCTCAGCCCCAGCATATGAACCCTTGGATACACAGCAAGGGCCAGGAAGAAAGACAACAGCTTCCGTAAGGAGGCGGATTCCTCCAGGTGGCTGGTGATGGCGATCTGACCGGGGACTGAGATGGTGCAGGCTGCCCCCAGGGCTGCCCCGCAGTTACAAGCGCAGTGCTGCTTAGGGGCTGAGTAGTACAGTAGGCAGGTAAGAACATGAACGTGGGAGGTGTGTGCCCAGGGAGTAGAGCCAAGTAGTTCGGCTGAGTGCACGGCACGAGAAGGATCATGAGGTGCTGGAGTCCAGGCTGATGAGGGAATTAGGTCATCAAGGTAGCAGAGGGGACATGGTGATCTCCCCCTCTTCTGCAATCAGAGTACCTAGATCCCAAAGACAGGAAGGAACAGCTGCTGGGCCAGAGGACAGATTAAGCTTCTGGGACCAGAGGGTCTGAAGGTCCTTGGTGTGGAGCAGGAACGGAACCAGGGGCAATGTTCATGCAGCTGGGAACCAGGTGTACTCTGCAGACCTCTGGCTGCAGTGGGGATGGGACTGTTCTATTATACTCACCCTGGGCACTGTCAACCATACACTAAGCCATTCTCTAAGAAACTGTGGCGTTACAGCAATGGCAAGATAGGACTCTGGGTAGGGACAGGGCTCCACTGCGATCAGAGTGTCATCTCTAGCTGGGCAGTGGTGATGCACGCCTTTAATCCCAGCACTTGGGAGGCAGAAGCAGGCGGATCTCTGTGAGTTTGAGGCTAGCCTGGTCTACAGAGTTAGTTCTAGGACAGCCAGAGCTACACAGAGAAACCGTGTTTCACTCCCTCCTCAAAAGTTTTATCTTTGTAGGGAATGATCAATTTGAGACGAGGGGGCACTTCTTGACATGGATGGTGCTAACATGTCTTTGCTCTTAATTATTTATTATAGTATACTCACTCTTTAATTATTTATAATATATATTTATATGTTTATACTTGCTATATATAGGGAAAGCAAGGTAGAAAACAACAGAAAGTGAGTTTCATTGAGAAAGAGAAGGGGATTACATTAGAAGCCCATGAGGGGAGCCCACTGAGGCTGCCTTATGCCCAAGGGGACAGATGAGCTCCGGGTTGCTGCACAGGGTAGACGGGGCTCAACTAAGCAAGGAAATGAAAGCTACCCGAGTAGCATTTGTGCAGTAGGGAGTCTGTGTCTCATCCCGAGAAACGGTCTGAGGTCAAGACAGCCCTTAAAAAGCTTGTCAAGGATGGTCTATCTACAGGATACTCAGTTCCGACACATGCCACAAGATGGAGGGGACCCTCACCCCCAAAGCACTGTGCTGGGTGAAAGCAGCCAGGCACAAAGAGAGTGGCGATGTGTGACCGCTCTTCTGTGTGCTCTTTAGTGTGGCCAGGGTCACAGAAGGCAGACGGTAGAAGGGTGCCAGAGCTGGGGAGAAGTAGGAAGCTAGTGTTCAAAGGGAGTGAAGTCTCACTTTTGTGGGAAGCTAAGTTCAGGTGATGGGTGTTAGTGGTGGCTGGAACACTGGGACATGCACAACGCTGCCACAGTGGATACTTAAAGATGGCTGAGGTGGTAAACTTTCCATTGTCTGTGTCACCACAATTCACTTGGTTTTTGAAAGTTTCTCAAGAACACTTGAGGGTTGTCTGGGAAGCTAATGATGCTAACTGCATTCCTGAATACAGGCTCAGTGAAGCCAGAGAAGGCTCTGGTGGAAGTTTTGGGGCTCTTCCTTGCTCTGTGTTGGTTAGTGTTATGCACTAACCCCTTCCCGAAGCGTGCTGGCACCCCTCTTCTCCTAGTAAGCAGGGTTATAGAAGGATGGAATGGGGGGCATGATGGGATAGATGAAGACAGAACTACTGAGAGATGAGAATGATCCCCACTCACCTTTGGACCGTCTGGGAAGCCACCAGGAAGGACATGAGGTCTCCCCCTCTCAGCTGCTGTCCAGCCACAAGGGAGCCCCCAATGAACAGGGTGCCCAAGACCATACCTACATGGAAAGGGGCCAGGCAGTGAGGCAGGAAGTGGCTAGAGATGAGGATTGAGTCCTGAGTCTTATCCCTGCTCTGCCACCAGCTGACTTTTAGGCCTGAATTCCTTATTTGCAAAACAAGATGAGCAGGCCAGGTTTAGTGATATTTAGTAACATTCATGAGGCTAAGGCAGGAGGATCACGAGTTCAAGGCAGCCTGGGATATAGAAAAAGTCTGAAGTTAGCCTAGGTAACTTAGCGAAGGGCTGGGGAGATGGCGCAGCAACTAAGGGCACATATCGCTCAGGCTGAGGACCTGAGTTCAGTTCCCAGCAGCCACATCAGGCAGCTCACAACTGCCTGGAACTTCAGCTCTGGTGGCCTCTGTGGGCCCTGCACTCACATACACATACCCACATGTACACATAATTTTAAAAAAAATGAGGGGCTGGAGAGATGGCTCAGAAGTTAAGAGCATTAATTGCTCTTCCTAGGTCCTGAGTTCAATTCCCAGCAACCACACGGTGGCTCACAACCATCTGTAATGAGATCTGGTGCCCTCTTTTGGTCTGTAGGTATACAGACAGAACACTGTACACATAATGAATAAATAAAAATCTTTAAAAAAAAACTATAAAGGGGTTGGAGAGACAGATCAGTAGTAGTAGTTTTCCTAAAATGCTATGGTCCTGATTCTACCCTAGTGGCACAAAAATAAATAGGAGTGGGGACGGGCAAGAGTACACACACTCCCTAAGGGTGCCCTGTAGCTTCCATAAGCTAAGGAAGGAATGTCACTCTCTAGTTCCCTACAGTTGGTGGTAGCTGGAGCATCTCACAAATGAAGGTACTCAATATGTTAGAAACATCCGGGCAGGTGGAGACTGCTGCCTATCTCTGCTCTCACCTAGCCCATGCCCGCGTCCCCTCCCAGGCAGGGCCTCATTCACTCACAGTTAAAAGCGATGTTGGAGAGCCCTTGGAACAAGGCAATGCCCCTGCCCAGCTCTTCTGCCTTACAGCGGCATGACTCCAGCTCTGTTTGATAGCGTCTGGGAAGAAAGGCCAGGCTGGGCACTCAGGAAGCATCTGGGCTGAGGGCCAGGGCAGGGGAGGGTATGTGAGAATGACGGACCCATTTTGTACTCTGCTTTCCCAGGACTTACTCCTCTTCCCTCTGCTCCATAGCAAAGGCCCGCACAGTCCGAACATTGCCTAGGGCCTCGTCTGCCACGCCTGTGGCCCTGGCAATCTGCATGGAGACAGAGAAACAGGGAGTAGGTTATAGACAGGAAGAGGGGCAATGAGGGTCAAGAAGAATGAGCCAGAGATGCTAGGAAGAAACAAGGAGGACATGTCGAGAATTCCAGTACCTGCTCCTGACACTGGCGAGACAACTTTCGGAGCCCTGAGCCCATCAGGGTGCCCACTCCCATGAGGGCAGGCGTGGCGACAGCCAGCAGCAGCGTGAGGCGTGGGGACAGCATAGACAGGGACACCAGGCTACCAATCACTTGGGTACAACTGCGCAGTCCCTGGGTAGTGAGAGGAGGGCAGGAGGCTTTGGAGCATCAGCATAGGTAGCGGGTGTTCTGCTGATAGTGGGATGGGTACAGCTCTGGAGGTCCTGGGGCAGTCACTGGTGACCACCCAGGACCTGATCACAAGCTGTGGAAGGGATGGGTGAGAATGTTCACAGGCTAAACTCCTTTGACTCTAGACAAATCCATTGCTTATTTCTGTTGTGGACACACTAAGCTGCACAGGGATATGCTGACTGCCATGGGCCAGAGTTCTGTCAAACCTGGAGCCAGGTGAGGGAGGGGCTGTCAGTATGCGGCAGAGTCATGCATGAATTCAACGCTGACTAGCAAAGGGTACAAAGGGGTCAGGCTGGGTCAAATGAGTTTACTCCTATCAGGGTGGTTCATAATTGCCTATAAATGGCTTTCTGGGGGAGCCAGGGTTTCAGAGCGTGGAGCAGCAGGCTGTCCTGACCTTGACACCGCCCTGTGACTCCATCCTCCAGATTCACTGTTCCCTTTATCTCGCACTTTCCCCAGGCAGTAGTAAACCTCATTCTACAGAGAGCTGGGCAGGGGCACTGCCTTGTTCCAGCGTAACTTCAGGCTGTCAGAGCTGGGGCAGGCAAGTCTGGCTGCTGACCTTGCACAGGGGCCTGACCCACTGACCTGGGAGATGACAAGCTTGAAGGATGACTTGAATTCTTGCACGTCGGTAGTCAAGCGGCTCACTAGCTGCCCTGTCTTTTTGGCATCAAAGAAAGCAATGTCTTGCCTGGCAGTAAAACATGACGGTAGTAGAAGGAGGAAGATAGGGAGATGTTACTTCAGGATCTGGCCCTCCGAGACCTCCTGGGAGCCATCAGTCACCCTGGACCCACCCCCTACAGCTGGCAGTACCGGAGCAGGGAGCTGAAAAGGGCTCTCCGCATGTCCATGGCCATGCGCTCACCAATGTGGGACAGCAGCAGTAGGTATCCGAAGGTCATCAATCCCTGTAAGAAAGGCCTGGTACTCAGGGAGGCCCCAGGAAGGCTGCTGTGAGCCCCAGGCCCTCCTACCCCACTGTACCTGAACACCGTAGAGTAGGAGCAGCTGGGTACTGAGCCTACGGGACTCAGACATGAAACTCCCCACACGGTCCCTCATGTACTTGGCCACAATCTCCACCAGCTGGCCCAGGAGCAGGGGGATCTGCACATTCACTAGTGCCGCACCCAAGGCCAGCTGGAATGGGGACAGAGGGAAAAGACACTTGAAGAGGAGGCCATTTTTGTCCCCTCCCCAGTTCTGACTTTGGCTTCTCCTTTCCCCTTACTGAGCCTTGTCCACCCTGGGGCTGCTCATGTGGTCACAGAAGCGTCTCTCTGAGAGTTGAAATCCAGGCCTCCAGCCCCTGAGTTCTCTTATCCCACAAACTCAGTCCCCCTGCATGGGCCATCCTGATGCCCAGAGCCCAGGCAGCCCTTGCTGTTCCCACAAGGCAGAAACGCTGTTCCTGTGCAACTCAGGTTTGGAGCTGCCTAGGCCTTTCCTGGCTTGAGCACAGAGGGCAGGGAAAGTCTCACCACAATGGCTACCCCCAGGGCCAGCAGGTGGGGGTGAAGGAAATGCCAGAACAGCTTCCAGTTAAAGCGCAGCTCCTGGGCACTGGGTGTGTGCTGGGCAGGACGGGATCCTTCGGCTTCACACAGTGCTACAAGGCAGAGGCGGGGATGCTGCCACAGCACTGCAGGAACCACCAAGGTTCCCCCAACCCAACACCAGGCAGAGGGGCTCCGTCGGGAAGCTGGTGGGACTTGAGGGAGATGAGTCCGGAGCTGTGACCGGAGCTGGGCCACTGCTTGGAGGAGGCGTGAGCTGAATCGGTCATCTGAAGACCTGTAGATAGGAAAAAGCAACGACAGCTGTGGTCCTGGTTGTCCTTCAAATGACTAACCATTCCCCTGGGCTCTGGGTGAGCCTTCTGGAACAGCATTTTATCTGCTGCCTCTCCTAGGGACATTTTTTTTTTTTATTTTACTTTACTCTTGAGATAAGATCTACTAATATTCCCCAGCCTGGCCTTGAACTTCTGCTCTCAAATGACCTTCCTGAGTAGCTACGACTACAGGTATGTGCTACCTCACCTAGAATGAATGTCTTAGGACAGTCTTAAGCAACTTTGGTTTGTAAGACACTTGCACAGGTGAGGAATGCGATGTTATCAGACTACACTCTTGAGAGCCTTTCCCCTAGCATTGCCTTTCAGCCAGCATCAGCCAGCATCAGCCAGCAAGGCCCCCATTTAGCCTCCAGCACCCTGGTCAGCACAGGTCTCCAGCCTGTCAGACTGAGAAGAGACTTGGAGTGGCAGCCAGCCCCAGGCCTCCTTTGCAGGGACAGACCAAGGCTTCCTAGAGGCCGGCTCAGAGAGAATCCTAGGGGCAAGCTTCTTTGGGCCTGGCCCTGCACATGTGCAAGGTAATCAACATGGCAGCCATGACCTAGAAATAGTGAGTTGATGGTCCATAGCCCCTCCATGACGCTAGAAGATGCCCTTATTCTCTCTTGGTAAGAACAACAGACAGGTGGTACAATTTGTCCCCAGGGATGAGATGGGCGAGAGGGAACTTTGCTGTCTGGTTCCAGAATCCTACAGTTCATTCTACTGTCCTACATTTGATATGGCCAAGGCTATGTGTGGTAGGCCCTGAGTGCCTGATGCATGAAGACAGAGGGTCAGATGTTCCCCTTCCACTGCTGCCAGAGGACACAGAAAAACACAAAGGACTAATCGTATCCTCTTAGATGGCCAAGTCCTTCTTTCCTTCAGGTCTTACACGGACATAATGGAAAAGTAGATTCAACTGCTTACAACATCTGTGAACCTAGTGTGTCATAGAGTATGGAACTGACCAAGTTGGGCAAAGCAAATTCCTTCTCCTGGGGTCATGCTGGTTGGGGCGAGGGTGGGGTGAAGAAGCCTAGAGGTCAAAGAGCAGTAGGTGCCGCTTTGTTTGACAAAAGCATCAGAAAAGGTACAAGTTCAGACTGGGGACAGTGGGGAGGGGAGGCAATGGAATGCTCTCAGGAGCTTCCAAAGTAAGAGTAAGAGTTTCAGCAACAATGTAGCTGTGACAGGGCACATGGGGAGGGAGAGGAAGCAGGTGCCCTGGAGGGGCAGTCATCCCAGTCTCGGCAAAGCACTGGGATGTGAGAAGACCACTGTGCAGGCTCTTCAGGGCCGTCTGTGGTTTTTAGGATAAGGAGTAATGAAATCAGGTTTGTATTTTAGAAGTCATAGCAGAGAAGAGCAGGAGGGGAAGGCCAGGGCAGAGGGAGTCTGTTTGGAGCAGAGGTTATCTGGCCAAAAGCACACAGAGGAATGCTCTAAACAGACTAATGAGGAGGACTACACAAGCGGGGTGTGGCCGTGCATTTCTGAAATCCCAGACTTGGGAGGCTGAGGCTGGAAGATTTCAAGTTCAAGGCCAGCTGGTGCAACAAAGTGAGACCTCATTAACAGTTCCCTACTGCTCTTATAGAGGACCTGAGTTTGATTCCAGCACTCCTATCAGGAAGCTCACGGCGGTTATAACTGCAGCTCGAGGGGATCCAATCTCTCTGGCCTCCTCTGACACCTGTGCTATTGTACACATAACCCTCACACATACACATAAAGATAATTAACATAAACATAATTCAAAATAAGTAAGAATCCAGAGTGGGGCTTTGCATGGTTTTTAGTATCATGGCTTTTCGTATTTCCACACCCTCCTTATTATAAATTTCCCTTCTTTACTCTCAGGGAAGCCTGTGCTTAACCTTGCCTGGTTTGTCCTTTTTTCCACTGTCCCTGAAGTCAATCTATCTTCAGTTTTAGATAAAACTCACTTTCTTTTCTTTCTGCACCACTGGCCTACTTTTCCATTAGCTAATATCTTCCTGAGGAGGCAAGGTCTTATTTTATTCTCCAGAGCGCAGGAAACCTCTGGGATATGAGATATCTGTTGGGCAGAAGTTTGTGGGGCTGTGCAGGTCCCCATGCACAGGGAGCTGCATCAGAGGCTGCCCTGACACCTTCAATGTTTTGTAAACATACAGATTCACTGTGACTGGCACCGTACATTGTGACTTAGCACAATTCCCCAGTACAATCCAGCACTCTCTGTGTGGGGGTGTATGTGTGGATGCCAAAGTTGAAAGGTTTCACAAAATACTTCCCTTAATTATGAAACACGTATTCTGACAGATTCTACTATATTCCTTTCAAAATGATCCTGACTGCTAAATTCCTTTCATGAACTGAAATGAATGCATTCATTTTTTTGGCCTTACCTTGTGTCTCTTTATGGTTTAAATATTATCAACACCCTCATTCTTTCCTAAAGACTGTTTTCGAAGCATTAATAATTTACCATGGCTACTTTCCAGCTACTCTCATCTCCTCCAGACCAAGACTCTAAGAAGGCACTGTGATCGCCAACAATTGGTGGACAGCTTCCAGCCTAGCACTTCTAGCTCGGGGCTCGTCCTTCCTCCATCAAACAGATGGGCTTTCCACATGGTCACCCACCCTTGGCAATCTTCCTCTGGACCTCTTAGGGAAACACTTGCTTCTTATAGAATATTTACAATTAAATTCTAGATTCTGGGTAGCAGGGCACCCCTACAATCCCAGCACTCAGGAGGCAGAGGCAGGTGGGTCTCTGTGAGTTCAGGTCCCAGGCCAGCCAGAGCTGCATAGTGAAACTTTGTCTTCAAAAACAAAAACAAAACAAAACAAAGCAGGGAGGGGGGAGAAGAAAAAAATTAGACTCTGGATTCTTGTTTGTTTTCAACTTATTTTTTCCTCTGGACCAGTGAGTATAGGCTGGAGTTTTTTTCTAATATATATATATATATATATATATATATATACACATATACATACATATATATACATATATACATACATATACATATATATAATGAATATAATATTCTGTCTATGTGTATGCCTGCAGGCCAGAAGAGGGCACCAAATCCCATTACAGATGGTTGTGAGCCACCATGTGGTTGCTGGGAATTGAACTCAGGTCCTTTGGAAAAGCAGGTAATGCTCTTAACCTCTGAGCCATCTCTCCAGCCCGTCTTTCTTTTTTTTAAATTTTTTTTCGAGACAGGATTTTTCTGTGTAGCTTTGGAGCCTGTCCTGGCACTAGCTGTTGTAGACCAGACTGGCTTCAAATTCACAGAGATCCACCTGCCTCTGCTTCCCCAGTGTGCTGGGATTAAAGGAGTGTGCCACCATCGCCCAGCTGGAGTTTTTATTTTTTAAATCTTACCAAGAATGGCTCAGGTTTTTCCACCCAGGGTACTAGGAATTGAGCCTATGGTTCATGGATAACAAGAAAATGTTCTGCCACTAAACATGGTCCCAGCCCTCTTTTTGCTCTTTATTTTTTTAATTTTTACATTTTATTTATTTGTGTGTGTATGTGTGTGAGTATGTATGTGTATAAGTGTATGTATGTGTGTGTGTGTATGTATGTGTATGAGTGTCTGTGTGAGTGTGTGTGAGTGTGTGTATGCGTGTGTGTGTGTGCGCGCGCACCTGAGTGAGTGGAGATCAAAGGACACTTGCAGGAATCAGTTCTGGGCTTCCACATGTGGGTCCCAGGGACCGACAAACTCAGGGGATCATGCTGGCACCACATCTTTACCTACTGAAACATCCAAATGGCCTTTTTACTCTTCATTTTGACACAGGATCTTACAAAGTTGTCCAGTTAGGCCTTGAACTTAGAATGCATGATATACATTCTACTGTACATTGAATTTAGACTCAGCCTCCTGAGAAAATAGGATTGTAGGCTCCTACTAGGCCCAGTTCAGACGGACTCAATTCCTGATGCATCAGCTCTAAGAATCACTTCTTGATTCATTTTGTACACTCCATAGCCCAGAATGACACACAACTCACTCTGTATCCATGCTGGCTTCAAATTCCTAGCAGCCTTCCAGCTTCAGCCTGAATGTTTCTCTACGTAGCTCTCTATAGATCAGGCTGGCCTTGAATTCACAGAGTTTCACTAAGCCCAGCTAAGAACTACTTAAAAAAAATTTAAATGCATGTGTTTATTTATTGAGTTTGGGGCCGTGGAGGTCAAAGGGCAATTTGCCGGGAGTTGCGCTTTCCAATCATATGAGTTCTCAGGTCGAACCCAGGTCTTCAGGTTTGGTGCAAGTGCCCTTGCCCGCTGAGCCATCTCGCGAGCTAAAGAATCTTTTTTCATCATTTAAAATTATTTCGGCTAATCCTGAAACAACATCAATAGTAAATATCTACGGACACCAATTACAGATACGTCCAGATCTCCAGGTGGATTACCAGAAAGCGGACGCCGGCTGCGAGAGGCGCCTCTTGATGGGCAGTGGTGCCTGGGTGTGGCCACAGACCCGGAGTCAGAAGTGTCCTGTTAGCTAGTAGGTGCAGACCTGCGGAGCCTCCTGCTGGCACCCACACTGCACCGTAAATAATTGAGGCCAATTCCCTGAGGAGAGACATTCTACTCCTGCCGAGAGCCTACAGCTCCCAAAAGGCCCCGCGCGACTCCAGAACTACACCTCCCAGCGGGCACCGCGCGATGCCGGCCGGTCAATGGCCTGCATTTTAAGTAACCCTCATTCTTTTACCTGGCGGCCGAGAATGTCTGGAAGCGCAAGGATTGTAGCGACCAGCCTGGAAATGGACCACCCCGAATTCCGACCCGAAATAAGTGCACCAACATGATGAGGCAGTAAGACAGGAACAATGGGCAACGGCAATCTCACTCTCATCCTACCAAGGGCTCCATGTTAGCTACGGCCACCATCCCGACAACCCCCTCGCACCTCGGCGGTGATTGGAGAAAACACTCATCAGACTTGCCACAAAGCTGTGATTGGATAAAATGTTGGCTGAGGCGGTACTTTTCGTTCAGTGCCCCAGGGTCAGGTGACGGTCGGAGGGTGTGCTACGTTCATTCTCACGTTAGGGGAAGTCACGTTATGGGAGGGAACGCTTCTGGCTTCAGGCCGTTTCACTAGGGATATTCCTGATAGTCTCTACGTGCCCTGGCATCTTCAGAGAGTGTTATGTGCTGGTTTTGGGGGAGGAATGGGCGAAAATAGACTGGGGAAGTTTAAAACAAACAAAAACCTACATGCACGTGACATGCCACCACTCACTCTAGTCTCCAACTCTTGGAGACTTGAGCCACATGCATTGAAAACGCCCCGACTGGTCCCGATAGTGACCCTCAATTATTTTGAATTATTAGTATGGAGGTTATGAAGCTTATCAAGGTGCAACCTAAGATCTAACCCACAGGTTCCTTCCTGATTTGGGTCTTAATCACTGGCCTAAGGTTCTAGCCCAAGAGCGAGAGGCGCTTGCACCTGTGGGGCACTTATTATTGCTATAATTATCCCCTATACGATCCCCAACGGAATCCTGCTACGTAGCTCTGGCTAGCCTGAAACTCCCTTTGTAACCCAGGCTTGTCTTGAACTCGCTATCCTTCCTTCCCAGCGCTGGGATTACAGGTTTGAGTCACCAAGCCTTCTATGTAATTATTTTTTTAACTGCCTCCTCCACCGGGCTGTGGCTTCTCGGTGGGAGTGGCTCTTACTCGTTCCTGTTCCTCTCTAGACTTGTCAGGGAAAAGCGCCCTAATATTCACTGCTCACCAGGGGGCGCTTCTTCTGGCCCTCATTTGTACATTTGAACTAGTGGTATTGTTACGGGTGGTGCTTCCGAGATTCAAAATGACTGAGGGAGGAAAATAGATGCTGTGGATATGGGAATTTAGAGTGAAACTGGACCGAACAATGAGCCAGAATTTGTTTGCGATTGGGCTGAGGAAATCAGGGTGTGTGTAGTCCCAAACAAGGACGGACCATCAAGGATGCTGTATGAGTGATGGCATAGGGAGGTACCAGTTAAAACCTCACTTAACCTCTCTCTAGAGGTCTCAGAAAGATCACAGGAGTCCCCACTCCCACCTTCCGATTCTATTTTGTCTCTTACAAAAAAAGTTTTCATAGTTCTACACCTTGCCCAGCCACAAAGGTATGGAAGTCATGAAAACTATTGTGACAATTAGTTTGCCAGAAAGGAGGCAGAAAAATAAGAAAACCAGGAGTTTGGGTCAAACTTGTGGGAAATTCCATGAAAGTCCTCCATGTTTATCCAGGAAACAGTCTAGGAAGCACCATGTTCCTCTTCATTTCTGGGGTACTAGCCTAAACCCTGAAGGCCCTGACACCTGCTAGCGAAGTCAGCCTCTCAGGCATGGCTTCAGTTAGGGCACTTGGTGACTCAGGATCTTGGGAATGGCGTTGGGCAAGCCATCAGACCAGCCACCTGGGCCTCCTCCCCCTTGGTGAGGCAACAACAAGGAACTCAACTCAGCCAGTCCTTCCCCGCATGCCCACATCATCCTCCCAAGTTCTTACCACCTGCCTTTGCTGGAGCTTCTCAGGAGGCCCCTGACACCAGGTCAGGGCTTGGAGCAGAGTATACCGGGGTTCAAGAGGGTAAAGAAGACATAATGGAACTTGCAAGAAGCCAGGCTTTTCTACTTTAAGCCCCTTAGATGATTTCTCAAATCCAAGATGGCTAGCATTTCTTCCTTCCTGCTGTTTCCTCCCAGCCTCTGTCTCTTCCCAAGTGCTGGGAGATCTGAGTGGGCAGGTGATCTTCAGTCACTCTCTATAGATCAGTGCCCTTAGGTGTGGAGGGGAAGGAATGAAAGATTTAACATCCCATTCCCAAGACTCCATAACCCTCTGATGGGATTTTGCTTTTTTGTGCTTGTTATTTTTGCTGTGTCTACCCTCTCTTCTGCTTTTGTGCCCTCAAGGGCTGGCAGCAGAGATTACAGGTATCTCTTCTAGTCCCCAGAGCTCTTGAACCCCTGCCTCCCAAACTGTTCCCTCCCAGGTGTGGAGCCTGGACCTTGGCCCCAGGTTGCCCTGCAAGAAGTGTGTGAGTGATCACACAGGTGGCTGAGGGCTGGCATGCCTGAGGCCTGCCCAGCCTGAGTCACCTGGTGCTGTTGTTGTCACTGTCCCTGTTGTAGTCTCTGCTTAGCTTCACAGACCTCTGTGGAAACAGCAGCAGCCCAGTCCCTTCAACCTCTCAGGAGAAGCAGCCGCCTGATGGTGAGCCGAATGGGGTGGGGGGGGAGCCGGAGGCAGCGGGGGCGGTGGGGAGACTTGGGGCCCAGCTCAGTGCCTCTGCTCCCTATGGCACTGCCACTACCTGCTTCTCCATGTCGGGGACTTGGGGGAGGGAGGCTCTCTGTCTTCTCTCTGTCTCCTGCCCCTCGTACAAGAAGCTGCTCCTCTTCACTGTTTCCTCCTGCCTCAGGGTCCCCCTGCTCGGTGGCTCAGGAGGCAGGGGCTTCTCAGCTTCCATACAATGCCTCACCCACCCCAGCCACACCCTTAACACAGACCCATCCCACAATGACACCCACCTCTGCTTCCCCCTCGTGGGGGTCCCACCCCACCCCACCCCTGGCCTCGGTCACTCCCCCTCCCTCCTGCCGATGCCCCCAGGACCATCCTGGGCTGCGGATAGGTCCTCTGATCCCTGAGCAGGATTATGAACGACTAGAGGACTGTGACCCTGAGGGGTCCCAAGACTCACCCCTCCATGGGGAGGACCATCAACCCTTGCTTCATGTGCCTGAAGGACTCCGTGGTAAGTGTGGGGGTATTTGAGAAATGGAGAAGTTTGGAGATCTAGGCAGGTTTGGGTTTGCATGGGCAATGATGTCAAGTCCTGACATGGTTTCTCTGTACCCAGGCTCCTGGCATCACATCCAGAACCTGGACAGCTTCTTCACCAAGATATCCTTTGTGTCATGCAGAGGGACATGGTGGGGGACTGTGGATCAGGGGAGAGTGGGGGAAGTCTCTTCGGGAAGAGTCCATAGACAGGTATATCTCTTGACAAACTTGCCACATCTACAGCTACCACCAGAGGAATGGTTTTGCCTGTATCCTGTTGGAGGATGTCTTCCAGCTGGGGTGAGAAGTCAGTCCTGTCCTAAGTTCTGTCCTCTTTTCTTATCTTTAGGTTTTTGTTTTGTTTTTGAACCAGGGTCTCATGCATTCCAGGTTAGACATGAATTCCTGTTCCTCGTGCCTCTACCTCCCAAGTGCTAAAATTACAGGCATGTGCTACCAAACCCAGTTTCTGTGCTCTGGGAGATCAAATCCAGGGCTTCATGTGTGCGAGGCAGACACTCTACTGAGCTGTGCCCCAGCTCTCCTTTTTCAGTTCTAGTCTTGGTACTCTGATGGGTGAGGGGTCATATAGCACCTCAGCTTGTCTGGCAACTGCCCTTAGGCCTGATCAGGGCCCTCTCCCTGCATCCCTTTCTCAGACAGTTCATCTTCATTGTCACCTTCACGACCTTCCTCCTTCGCTGTGTGGATTACAATGTCCTCTTCAACAACCAACCAAAGAACCATACAAGACCTGGACCATTCCACAACAAAGTGACCTTGTCAGATGCTATTCTACCCTCAGCCCAGTGTGCAAAGAAGTAAGTGACAGTCTGGTAGGTGCCTCTGGATTAAACTCACAAAAGGAAGGAAGAAAGGAACCTCCCTGTACTGTCCCTTGGTCTAGGTCAAGTCTCAAAGTGCTTGACATATTTAAAAACATACCCCAAGTTGACTGAGCAGTTCAAAGAGCCTTGTATTATGAGTCACGTTTCTATTTACCTTATTAGAAATTAAAGGTGAGGACAACTGTTTATTTTTAGTGCTGGGGAGCAAACCTAGGGCTTCTGGCATGCTGGGCAAACACTGTACCACTCAGACACATCCCTAGCCCTGAAGACAACTTTACAACTTAAGAATGCACAAGTGCATGTTATATAGGATGTCAATATGATGTGACATCTTCGCTTGTCCTGTAGTTTCTGGAAAACGGCATTTTACACTCATGGGAAAATGAGAATACAAAAACTAGACAGCATGAGTGTTGTTTGTAAAAAGTGTTGACTTTGCAGACGCTTTTGAAGCCCTCACTGAGGACCCCCACCAAGCCCCACTGAGACTTGCAGGTGTTTTTTCCCACCTTTCTGTTCCCCTTCTTCCCAACCCCCTGCAGGATCCACGACAGTCCTCTGTTGGTCTTCCTCCTCGTCTTGGCTGCTGGCTTCTGGCTGTTCCAGCTGCTTCGTTCAGTCTGCAACCTCTTCAGCTACTGGGACATCCAGGTGTTTTACAGGGAGGCTCTGCACATTCCCCCAGTAAGCCTGCTGGGACAGCATGGGCAGAGGACAGGAGAGAGTGGGGCCATGCACATGGAAGGACCAACTGAGAGGAGCAGAAAGATGGAGGCTGAATGATACCTGCCCTGGGCCTTGAGTAATCCCAGGAGGCACTGCCACTGCCGCTGGCACTTAGCAAGCTTGGCTCTGACCCTTGTGGAACTTCCTTTACTCAGATGGGTCATATACGGTGACTTATAGTCACATGCTGGTGGTAAAAACAATGGTTGTTATGGAGGAAGGGCTGTCACTGGGCCTTCTAGAGCAGGAGGCATCCTGATTGGGTGAGGAAGGTCAGGCCAGCCAGACCTCTGAGCAGGAAGTGAGGAAAACATGGGGACCTGTAGGCAGTGGAGATGGGCTTGCTTGCCTGAAATAGAGTCTTCTAGGACACCTGAAATGTAAGCCACTTTCTTTTTTGTTTGTTTGCTTTTTGGAGACAGGGTTTCTCTGTGTAGCTTTGGAGCCTGTCCTGGAACTCATTTTGTAGACCAGACTGGCCTCGAACTCACAGAGATCCCCTTGCCTCTGCTTTGATTAAAGGCGTGCGCCACCACTGCCCTGGCTGAGAGCCACTCCTTACTGTCCACTGGTCGTGTTCCTTCTAGCTTGGTCCCTAAATTTATTGTTAAGGCATCTTCTCCAGTCTCCCCCCCCCCATTTCTTGCTTCCCCTTGAATAGCATGAGCCTTTGGAGCAGGGTGGCACCAGGCACGACCACTGCGGGGGCTGTTGACCCCATCCTTCTTCCCTCTTGTCCTTCCTTTTCTCTTTCCTGCAGTGAAGGGAGGAGCTGTGGAGGCTGGTCCCGAGGAAATAACTGGACTGGGTAGACTGGGCTAAAGTACGGCTTGAGGCTCACATGGGTCCCTCCAAATGAAGCGTGGGAGTGCTCTCTTCCCCAAGACACAGACACAGGCAGGGCTGTGTGGAAGCTAGTCAAGCGATTGTACAGAGTGGCCTGGAGTGGGATGAGCGCAACCCTGGTTCTCAAAGCTTGCTCAGGCAGAAAGAGTGAGAATGGAGAAGAGGTTCCATTCTTTTATGTGTGGGAGTGAAGGGGGCTCAAAAAAGGAAGCCAGGTCCCAGTCCCTGAAGTTTACTAAGGAGGTGTCACCAGGAAGCATGTGACTAATGGCTACATGAGTGGCAGTGATGAGCAGCACAATTAAGAAGTGGCAGAAAGAATAGAGAAGTGCTTCTGTCAGCAGAAGGGCTAGAAGACAGAACGCCAAGGTGGGAAGGGAGGCCACCAGGGCTGGAGTTTGCAGACAGCTCAGTGGGTCGTGGAAGTTGTGCGTCTCTGTGGCTCCCCTGTCCCCTTTCCTCAGGAGGAGCTCAGCTCGGTACCCTGGGCGGAGGTGCAGTCCCGCCTCCTGGAACTGCAGAGGAGCGGTGGATTGTGTGTGCAGCCGAGGCCGCTGACGGAACTGGACGTCCACCACCGCATCCTGCGCTACACCAACTATCAGGTGGCGCTGGCTAACAAGGGTCTGCTGCCTGCCCGCTGTCCACTGCCCTGGGGCGGCAGCGCAGCCTTCCTCAGCCGCGGCCTGGCGCTCAACGTGGACTTGCTGCTCTTCCGCGGTCCCTTCTCGCTCTTCCGCGGGGGCTGGGAGCTTCCCGAAGCTTACAAGCGCAGTGACCTCCGGGGCGTCCTGGCCACACGCTGGCGGCGCACTGTGCTGCTGCTGGCCGCCGTGAACTTGGCGCTGAGCCCTCTGGTGCTGGCCTGGCAGGTGCTGTACGCCTTCTACAGCCACGTGGAGCTGCTGCGGCGTGAGCCTGGCGCTTTCGGGGCGCGCCGCTGGTCCCGCCTGGCCCGCCTGCAGCTGCGCCACTTCAATGAGCTACCGCACGAACTGCGTGCGCGCCTGGGCCGCGCCTACCGACCTGCGACTGCCTTCCTCCGTGCCGCCGAACCCCCGGCGCCCCTGCGTGCGCTGCTGGCCCGCCAATTGGTCTTTTTTTCCGGAGCGCTCTTTGCCGCGCTGCTGGTGCTTACCGTCTACGATGAGGACGTGCTGGCCGTGGAGCACGTGCTCACTACTATGACGGTGCTCGGGGTCACAGCCACAGTGGCCAGGTTCGATAGCACATAACAGGGAGGAGGTATTGGTGTGTGGCCTTTCTCTGACCTGGGCGCAGGCTTCCTTTCCCTTAGCGAACCCTTCTGTCACCATAAACGCCCTTCAGCCCTGCATCCTACCTGCAGGTCTTCCTAACCCCTGTTCTGCCTTCAGGTCCTTCATCCCAGAGGAGCAATACCAAGGGCGTCCCTCGCAGCTCCTGCTGCAGGCGGCCCTGGCACACATGCATTACCTCCCGGAGGAGCCTGGTGCTGCAGGTGCTCGAGCCAGCTCTTACTGGCAGATGGCGCAGCTGCTTCAGTACCGAGCAGTGAGTGCCCGGGACTACAGGAGGTTGTGGAGTAGGCCCTGTACAAATAATCTGGGAGAAGTTGTGGGCCAGTTGGGCCAGTGGCGTTGGGTCCACAGGGAGGCTTTGGAGTGAGTGGTTAAAGGCCTCCGACCTTACACAGTGTTCCTGGAGGCTCGTTGACCATGGATCGCTTGTGGGGTCCTTTCGAGAATCTCTGCTCAGCCTCACCCCTGCTTCCTTAGGTCTCCCTCCTGGAAGAACTCCTGTCTCCACTCCTCACCCCGCTGTTTCTGCTCTTCTGGTTCCGCCCCCGTGCTCTGGAGATTATTGACTTTTTTCATCACTTCACTGTGGATGTGGCTGGTGTTGGGGACATTTGTTCTTTTGCCCTCATGGATGTGAAGCGCCATGGACACCCTCAGGTTAGAGCTCTTCCCTGGCCTTGCAAAGTCGTGCTAGACAGGCATTTGCTTGCCTTACCAAAGCACACAGGTCTATAGAGCTGCTTACAGATTTGTTGTTACATTAAAAAAAAAAAAAAGATAAATGGAGAGGAGACATCCCCCGCTCCCGCCAGCCAAGGGGCTGGCCAGTGGGTGAAGAGTGGAGCATAGACTTGTCGTGGGAACTAGGGCTGCACAGGGGCAAAACACCAGAGCTGACTGTATCTGAGACTAAGCGCTCATGTCCTGCTCCACTGCCCTGCTGGATGATCTTGAACAAATCCCTATCGCAGCCTGGATTTCCTTCATCTGGAACATGGGGCAGTATTTCCTGTCCTGTCTACCTGTGTCTTGGTGTCTCTAACATCAGAAGGATTCTTCCTTGCAGTGGCTCTCAGAGGGGCAGACAGAAGCCTCACTCTCTCAGCGTGCAGAGGATGGAAAGACTGAACTCTCCTTAATGCGCTTCTCCCTGGCACACCCACAATGGCAGCCACCAGGGCACAGCTCTAAGTTCCTTGGACACCTTCGGGGCCGGGTACAGCAAGATGCAGCTGCCTGGGGTGCTACCTCAACACGAAGTCCACCGACCCCAGGGGTGCTCAGCGACTGCACATCCCCACTGGTGAGTTCCTGCCTACTCCTTTGCCCGTCCCGCCCTCCATCTCACCTGGGCATTCCTGACTTGTGTGTTACCCTGGTAGCCAGATCAACCTATCACATCTCTTGTCTTTCTCGGGCCTCCCCTTATACCTTCTGCTCCTCTGATGCTTTTGGCTCTCTTTTGTTCAGCCGGAAGCCTTCCTGGCCAACCTCTTGGTGAATCCCCGCCCACCCCAGAGGGACCTTAGTCCCACAACTCCCTGCCCTGCTGCTGCCACAGCCAGCATCCTTGCCTCTATTTCACGAATGGTCCAGGACCCCAGGTGAGAGGTGGCGGCCTGCTTGGGAGTTTGGATTGGTGCTGACTCTCTGAGAAAGGGTGCTAGGGTACAGAGGGGACTTGGAAAGTGGGGTGCAGTCTGGCCCACTTTCCTTTGTGAGAAAGGTGTCTCTTGACACTGGTCATCTTGTTTTAGCTGTGTGTCCCCAGGAGGCACTGGGGGCCAGAAGCTAACCCAGCTCCCAGAGCTTGTTTCTGCTGAGATGAGCCTTCATGCCATTTACCTACACCAGGTACGGAGAGGGAATATTGGAAGAAGGTGAGCGAAATAAATACTGGGGGATGGGCCAGAATCTAAAGAGTACTCAACAGGAACTATGAGCTCTCTGTAGGTAGCTGAGGACCTTGGCCTTGCTCCCCAACTCACATATGAGGGAGTCTCTCATTCTTCTTCCTCCATCTAGCTCCATCAACAGCAGCAGCAGGAACCATGGGGAGAAGCTTCAGCCTCCTCCCCACCAAGGCCCTGGTCCAGCCCTTCACAGCCAGGCTCACCAGATGAGGAAAAGCCATCTTGGTCAAGTGATGGTGAGAAGGGTAGGGGATGGAGGCAAGATCTCGGTGTTTCTTAAGCATCACGTGTGTGCTCACCCAGCGGCATTGTCCCCAGGCTCCAGTCCTGCTTCCAGCCCAAGACAGCAGTGGGGTATCCAGAGGGCCCAGAATCTGTTTCCAAGGGGCTTTCAGGAGACCACAGACACCCAGAAGGAGCCCCTGCCAGGCCCCTTACACTGACTGAAGATACCTCAGGTCAGTATTGCCCACACGGTCAAGCAAGCAAGGATAAAGAAACTAACTTGGGGTCAGTTTTGGAGAGATGGGGACACACTAGTTGAACCTAGGGTGGTGGGGCTGTCTCACTAGAGCCTAGGTACCCGGACTGCATGCCGACAGCCTTTTTCTCCCACAGGTTCTGGCTTTCCCAGCTGCAGGAAACTGGAAGGAGTGGCATGGAAAGATACATGGAACCATCTTTTGAGCTCCACTCCCTCCCCAGGTCCAGGGTATTTTAGTTGGTCATGATCTGGGAATCAAAGAGGAGCTTGCCCAGAGAACAAAGAGTAGGAAAGAGATGGCTGTGAGCCGAAGATGGACCCAAGTAGGGCTAAGAAGGCACTAGCCCCAACTGGCTGTTGTGGAGTAGTTGCCTGGGAAGAAGGACCCCAGTGCTCTCAAGGTGGAGGGCAGGGCCCAGGCAGTGGTCGAGCTCTGTGTTAGGGATCAGCGAGGCACGGAGCCTGAAACGCAGGGAAGTTGTTCCTGTTGGCCTCGCCTTTGAGTTCCTGTGGGACTAGGGGTGGGGGATATGGAGACTTGTGAGTGGAAAAAACAGAGAGGGTTGCTGTTTTTGGACGTCAGCGCTGCTGTGATGTCTGAGGAAGTGGGTGGGGCTCCTCATCCTGTGTGAAATAAGCGGTGAAGATTGTTCACGGCTGTGCTGCACATCCCTGCCATGGGAATGTCAGGCATGCCCCACTTCTGGAAGCTGAGGACTGCACCTGTTCACTCAATCACAGAACTGGCTATGGCTGGTTGGAAACTTTTTTCAGAGTACTGGGTCACATACAGAGGTGTTTAGTACTCACTGTCAAAGAATTACTGTCCCCACATCTGTACACATTAAAGCATGGATTAAAAGATTTTTCAATCATTGTAATCCACAAGAGTCAGGTTGGGCATCTCACGACATCTAGCATGATCTTTTTATGATAAATCTCCAATAAATACCGGGATGACATAGACTTCAAAGTTAAAATACTCCAGAGAGGGATAAAGGGAGTCTACAGTTCATCAAAAGCATACCAAGAAGGCCAATACCACAGCCAGAGGAACCTTCAAGATGTAGGCCGAATCGCTCCCTGCCTAGGTGAACTGGAGAGGGAAGAGTTCGTATATCCGCAGTCTCGCGACTCATGCTTGTAGGCATTTTCGAGAGAGGGTGGCTGGCTTTGGTCAGCCGAACAGAGTGAAACAGTTCCTCTCTCCGATAACTGGAGGCGGAAGAGACTGTCACGAACCCGGGGTTTCTGGGCCCGGAGGGTCGAAGGACCAGGGCACTGCACCCCGCAGCTGTCGCTCCTGCAAGGAAAAGCTCTGGGTGCGTATGCGGCTTGTCACCTCCTGGGTGCGCAGTGTAAGCCCGAAGATGTCCTCGTGGTAGCGTTGCTGATCCTGAGAGAAGGAAAAGAGATCGGTTGACCTACCAGAATAGGAGCAGCCAGCATAGACCTACCCTAGCCAGGCCCGGGCCCGCCCCTTCGCACCCGCAGCACGCCGATGACGTCACCGGCCTCGTCCAGCTCCATGTCGCCCTCTGTTGCCAGAATTCGCTGTACGGTCTGCAGGACGCTGGTTGCCATAGTGACGTCGCCGCAGACAAACATGTGTCCTTGCTCGAGGCACAGCACGCGGTGAACCTCCGCGGCCAGCTCGGTCCTCAGAAGATCCTGTACATAGGTCTGGGGGCGGGATGAGGGGCGGGCCTTGCGGTGAGAACACCCAGGCTGGGGGCGTGTCTAAGGGGAGGATTGGGACTGGGTGGGGGGCTTGGGGACCGCCCAAGCCTGGTAGCGCCATCTGCTATCAGTACCGCCTGCTTCCTCGTACCTTAGGGCTGCCAGGATCCCTGGAATAGGCGGTGAGGATGTGTCCAAAAACCCCGCGCTTCTGGGCATCCAGTACTTCGTCCCGGTAGAGATGGTCGAGTTGGGAGCATCGGCAGCCAAACACCAAAGTCATGGGGGCAGGCTGCAGCCCTGAGAGCAATAAGGTGGTTTGAGAGGGCCTCCTTCCTCTGGAGGATCCTTGTTATCACCACCTCCAGACCACGCTTGCCCAGGGTGCCAGCCAGGCTTTTGGGCTGGAGCAACCACAATCTTGGCTGTTCAGCCTCTAGGGGCAAATACGGTGCTTTCACCCAGACCCTGGCACACCTCTGATTTACAGAAGGAAATAAGCATTCAGGCAGCCAAACCAGGAGTGGAACTCGGCTAGAACCTGCTTTATCTACTCAATACTGTACCCAAGGCCTGTGTGACATTCCAGATTCACTTCTTAACTCCAGGCCCAGCTCCTATTCTTCTGTACCTTCCAACCATCCTCTCCCACACAACCTTCTTTTATTGACACCTGACCAGAACACTGATAGGGTAAGATTGGGTAGCCCTAGAATCTACCTGGAGCTGTCTCCTGTCTGAATGTCTACCCTATCCCTTCCTTCTTTACTCTCAGTCCACTTCAAATCCTATTATATGCAGAGGGACCACCAGGAAGGCAAACAAACAGGACCCAGTTCTTTCCTCTCCTCCCCTCCCCATTAACCAGCTTCTTTTCACCTTTGGTCCTAGTTTCTTTTATGGTCATTTCCTCCACCCTCACTCCTTTCCTCCTTGGCTCTCTTCTGACTTCCAGGTGCACCCTTCGCCCCAGCCTCACCTTTGGTCTCAATGTCATGTAATCGTTCCTGCCAGAATCCCCGGAAGGGTGCAATGCCAGTCCCTGGGCCCACCAGGATGCAGGGCAAGTTGGGATCAGGTGGCAGCCGGAAAGAGGGAGCCCTAGCCAGAGAGAGTATATTAAGACCTCTTTTCTTTTGTTTAGTTTTAGGCAGGATCTCACTATATAATTCTGGTTGGTCTGTAATTTGCTTTGTAGACAAGGCTGGCCTCAAACTCACAGAAATTTGCTTGCCTCTGTTCTCCGAGTGTTGGATTAAAGGTGTAGAACCACCGTGCCTGCTAAAAGCCTAGACTTTTTTTTAACATAGTCTGTAGCCAAGGACACAGAAAGACATGCAAGGGGCTATACTTTCACAAAGCACTAGGGTCACTGGCTGATCCATGTTGTTTTGGGAAGTTGTGGTTTCAGGGGCAGGACTCTGCACCCAGTTACTGAGGTCCAAAGCTCAGCCATAGTTGTGAAGTGACCAGAGACCCCACTGTTCTTGATGTATTAATAGGCCCTCCATGCTTCGGAGGACCTAATTACCAGCTAATCCTGTGTGGCACCCCCTCCCCCCTCCATGCATGCGTGCGCGCGCACACACACACACACACACACACACACACACACTCCTCACTGGTCCCTGCCATGCACATACCCCCTGCCTGGACACAGACGACCTCTTCTAATTGCCCTTCCTTACCCCAGAGGCCTCACTTACCCCCTGATGAAGCAGGGCACCAGGTCTCCTGCCTTGAGTTGGCTCAACCATGTAGAACACACACCGTAGTGCAGAGGGCCCAGCCCATCTAGGGATTAGGAGGAGAGGCCATTCAGAGGTCTGTCTTGGTCTTGCCAAGACCAGGCACTTCCAGCTCCCAGCCTCACCTTGGGTTCGATATGCCAGTACAGCTACGGTGAGATGGATCTCTCCTGGGTGGGCGCTGGGTGCTGAGCTGACGGAGTAGTACCGGGGCTGGAGCAGGGGCAGCTGGGTGAGGATCAGAGGGGCAGGCAATGCCACTGATGGGAACTGCTCCAGCACCTCCAACAGTGTGGGGCAGCGGAACCATTTCCACTCCTCATAGCGACGGGGGTCCTGGGGGCAGATATGCCGAGCTGAGGACCCCATAGTCCTTGCCAGAGTGACCCCTACCTAGCTGGGCCTCCTTAGCATTCATCCATGCTCAGTTCAGGCCATCACACCCCCCCCCCCCTTGAAGACCCAGAGCAACCAGAGATGTCAGCCTGGAGACAGGCCTTAAAGCACCAGTGCATGTTGGCCAGAAGAAGCAAGTCCGGAGAACTTGGCATGTATGGGGGTACTTCTTTTCACGGAATGTCCCCCAATTTATTTATCATCCTCTAGTCTAGCCCCTGCTCCCCACAACATGGTCCCCACCTGACTGAGGGCCTCTAGCTCCTGCTGTTCACTGGACTCTTCTGCCAGGGTGCTGAGAAGTCGAAGGAGGCGAGGGCTGGGTGGGGAAGTGATGTCCAGGAAGAAGGTGAGAGCCTGGCGCAGCGTACATGGGGGCAGCCGGGGGTCCCGTACCCAACCAGGGGGAGGGCCACCTGGGAATGATGCACAGAGGGGAGCACTGAGGCTGGGTGGTCTGAACTGAAGTTCCCTTTGTTGACTTTTGGGGGACTGACCAGGTGTTACTGTGTCTTATTGAAAAACTTGTCCTTGAATGGTGACATGTACTTTTCTGAGCAGCCCCGATAAGTTTGGGGGAAGAGGGACCCTGGCTAAACTGGGTTGCTCTGATCTCTTCTGCCTGTAACCCCATCAAGTTATCTTATCTCCAGACATTTGTTTTGGAAGGAGATAGTCCAACTACGGAGAAATTAGACTGTGGGAAGGTTGAGGCTGGAAGGAGGCCTTAAGGGTGCTTGGTGGGTTCTGGAAAAGGGCCACATGCAACAGGCCATTCTGGTTAGAGTGGCAGCTAGGTCCAGGTAGTACCTAGTTGTGAAACATGGTGGTAAACTGCTGAGCACCATGGGGTCCTGTGCCAGGGGATGCAGCAGGCTCTTACTCTCCCACCCCAGGCCACAATCCTCACCAGGGCTGCCCTTCTCCAGTTGCTCCACGGCCACAGACTCTGTGGATGGCGGAGGGTCCTCCACTCTGCTCAGCAGTGCCTCCACTAGGCCTGGTCGGTTGGGTGGGCACACACCTATGTGGTCCCCTGGCTGGTACTGCAGTCCCTCTTGGCCACCAGTATCCAGACGCACCAGGATTGTGGCTCGGCTAGGGGCGTGAAGGGAGGAGTTATTGAGGTCAGAAAACAGCGAGGAGGAAGGAGGAATGTGGGAGGAGTATGGTAGGTCTGAGTGAGGAGGACCCTAACAGTGAGGAGAACGGGGTGAATCATATTCCTCACGTGGATTTGCTGCTCTGTAGGTTTTCCACAGAGAGGATTGTAGCCTGGAACATCTTCCGCCTATGCACATGGGTCAGCCCTGGGGAGCAAGAGGATAAAGGGGTCTGAGCAGATGAGTGGGTCTTGGCCTGTGAGGGAGAATCCTAGGACCCCCCCCCCACTCCACTCAGCAAGGTCAGGTTGAGATCAGGGTTGTACCTGGTAGTAGCTGCAGGCTCTCAGCCTGGGTACTCAGTCGGTACCTCTGGCGCTTCCAGCTGCGTTTGGGGCTGAAGATGTCTCGGGCAGCAGCCTTGGCATCTTCTCCCACACAGAAGGTCTCACAGGCGGCCTGAGGGATGAGTAGGTGAGGGCCTAAGGCAGCTTGCCTCCAGGGAGCCTCAGTGGGGAAGGGGTGTATTAAGGGAGGTAGGGCTGGGCCTGCCAGTCACCTAGCAGTCTCCTTTCATTTCAGTCAGGGCAGCCCAAGTTCCTAATTGTGGGGTCGGCACCCACATTGGTGACAGGGAGACCAAGGCTGAGGTTGTTGCTGACTATGACACTTTATTTTCCAGCTCATTTGGTCACTGTCATAGGGCCCTGACTTTTTCACACCTGCTTGTCTGATGAGTACTGACCCCATGTCCCCGAGAGCACGCTGTTCGGCATATAGTATACTGCTCAGTGAAGGCAGCTATGAGCTCAGACCTGAGTCTGGATTCTTGCGGGACCTAACATCTTCTGTGTCTCAGTTTCTCATCTTGACCCTTCAGTTAGGTTCCAGGAAAGATTAAATAAGATACTTCTGTTTTCAGAGACAGAGTCTTTTGTAGCCCAGGCTGGCCTC